GAATTGAATTACTGAAATAAATTAACTTTACCATGATATTCTAATTGATTGAGATACACCTGTACACTGTCCAAAAAGCAGTGATGAAGCTCTCAGACAGCCCCACTGGAGCAGCAGTGACAGATCTTCCTCTTACCTTATCAGGGACAGGCATATTCTTGTAGGCTTCAGGGTCATCTTCATCAAATCGCTCAGTCTTTTTCGGCCTTCGAACCGGTTTACCCCTGAGCAGTGAAAGAGAGGAGACAAGAGATGTGCTTCAGGCTTTTCCCTGCACCATTCAGAGGATGTTTATTTTGGCATATATTTTAATTTCTTGTAGGTCATGGTGGAAACTGTAAAGGGTCATTTAAATGTTACAATAACACGACTCAGTAACGAGAAGAGAGAGAAACCAGTGTACAATCACATTCAACTTTAGCCAAACTCACCTTTTTTCTCGAACCATGATGGCAATGAATTAAACTAGCTTTCCACACGTTAGCAACAAAACTATTCAACGTCGGTGCTTGTGTGTGGAGATTAAAAGAAAAGAAAACTATCCAGTTCAACACATTTCTCCACTGATCACCATGTGCTTCCGGGATTTCTTCTTCTGTATTTTCAATGGCGGTCTACACAGTAATGAGAAAGGCGCCTAACGCCACCTACTGGAGTAACACAATGAGTGAGGTTTAAATGATTTGTTTACAGGGTAAAATCAAATAAATGAAAATGGATTGAATTATTATTAAAGAAATTCATACGGTTAAAAAAACAAGATTTTAATAGAGACATTAAAGTCTTCTGTAGGATTCATTTTTAACAAAACAATAATAGTGTTTCATAAATTAGGACCCCTGTATCTGACTGAAAACTGACCTCTGCCTGAGAGATGTTTGGGGAGATGAAGATTGTTCTTATGCTTCTGGATATTATACCCGTTTCCTTCAGAATAAAGCCCTTCTCCTATATCACTCCAATTGTTTAATACTATTTACTATTGCACTTAAATCTGTACCTAACAATTTTAAAATACTGCAGACATTTTGAAGACACAATAAAAACCTTAAAAAATAAAGTAATTTGGGTATTTTTCAATGCTGAACTAATAAGGTTTCTGGATTATATTTTTCTCTCATGTGTGTCCCAGTTTTTCTCATTAAGAAGAATTTCTCCAGTATGCCAGGAACTAACTTCCTCAGTTCTTCTACTGTACTAATTTATGTGTTGATTTTTCTTGGTGCACAAAGTGTGACTGTAAAGGCTGAGAGTCTAAAAAGTATTGGTATCTGTCTTTAAAGAACGTTTCAGTGTAAACTTCACTTCAAGTCCCCCAAATTTCAGGGGGGGAAATGAAATTGATTACCTCTGTGTTAGCTGCAGGCCTGTTGTCTCTTTCCTTCATAATCTATCAATAACTTATCAATCATTTTCACCATTTCCTTTTACTCCTTCATGTGCTAGTGTCAAACACAAATGTGCATTTATTGCCACTTGCTGAAGGTTTAATAAAATAAATAAATATTATAAATTAAAATCAAACAGTCCTTCCAATAATAATTAATTCTTCTGGTTAAGTAACTACTTGGTTTCATTATGCAATAACAATTCCAACAACAGTAATACCATTCAACATTAACAGAACAATTGTATTTATTTAAACATATTCAGAAGTAAAGCATGGCATCAAACACAATGTATGGAGTATACAGTGAAACATCTAATCATCAAATTCAGTGGGACATTAAATCAACAGACAGAACTAGTCTATATACATCGTAACAAACACTACAGAGGTCATAACCACCCACTGCTAGAAGCAGCCGTTCTTCAGTGACAGAAGACGTTATTACTGGCACAACATTGTGCTCAATGCTAATATTTCTGATTTCCTCTCTCCTCATTCCGGTTCTCCTTCTGTCTCTGCCAGTGACTTCCTCCAGTTCATATTGAGGGCATAACTGGAGCTGCGAGGCCTCTCTCTGGGCATAAAGTTTTTTGGAGTTCTGTACAATAGATGTTTCAAGTCATCGTTCCTCTTCTTCATCAGGGCAAAAGCAGGTGTCATTTGACCCGGATCAAAGCCCTGCCAAGGAAACAGTAACAAAGAACGTTAAAAGACAACAGAGGTGAATTGAAATTGTTTGTAGTGTTCACAACACTGAAACATTACATTTAGAAAGTCAGTATTGCTCAAATTAAGCTCCTATTATTACCAACAAAGCAATAGTCCCAATCAAACCTGTACAGTGCCTTTTTTTTTTTAGATTATCTAGGATACCAAGTCTCAGAATAGAGATTTTGATTTGCTTTTGATTTATAAAATGTAATTTGTCAGCGAGCACCACAATTCTGTCGCCCTCCATTGTTTTGGAGTGGAGGCAGAGGTGAATCTCCAAATCTAACAAATAAAAACCAAAACAGTCTGCATGGCTTGATAGGTAAGTGAGTAATTATGTCTGTTTGTGTGATTTTATTATTATGGTACATTACTTTATCTTCAGTAAACCAAATAGTAACATCTCTGTAAACTATTTTTGTAATGAAGTATCTCTCCCCCATCACTCCTTCTTCACAAGCATACACACAGAAAAACACAACAAATCTACACACACTTACACCAGCTTTAAACCTGGGCACTGCTCTCTCATCATTTGTATCTGTGTGTATGCTCAAGTCCATCATCGACTGGCTCATTTCGGACACAGCAGCTCTTGATCCTCCCTTGAGCAGCCCAGAAGAGCTCGGCTGAGGGTGAATCTTCTTCATAATGTCACTCAGAGAGCTGAAGCTCTCAGACTGCGGCACCCTCAGGATTAAAGGTTTCTGTGAGGAGAAAAATGAATCTAAGTTTGCTGTATCAAGGTTAACTCAAGTGTTTTGAGCGAGAGCAAAGGCCAGTTACTTACTCTAGAAGATGGTGTGTTCTCCATTTTTGAGCTTGTTTTTTTGCTGTTTTCCTCTTCCAAAACGGGCTCCCTCTTTGAGTGCTCTCTCCTCTTAGTAGAAGAAAGTATGGGCATATTGTGTGCTGGCTCTGTAGCTTTATCATCAACTCTTCTTCTGTCATCTAAGTTGGTGCTCTTCTCTTTGGAGAGTTGCCTGGAAAGATTTTTCTGTATTATGCATTCCACCCTGCAGGCAGGAAAGGACATTCATTTAGATATGTTATGTTTCATAATAATTTATGTCTTGATAAAGAGCTTCCTATATCCTTTGGCTCTTACCGTTTCATATTTTCTGGACTTGTCGGGTCTGTTGACGAGGGCGGCGTGTTGCTATTAAAAGAATCAAGATATAAGGAAAGATTAGCAGAAAAAAAATACCAGAAAAAAACACATGTAAAAATTAGCTGTAACAAGACTCACTTGAAATTTGTTGATTTATCTGGCACATTGTTTGTCACTGGGGAGATGTTATCACTTAACCTGTCACATACAAAAAGAGATAAGTACCGCAAAACACATGTAGCAGAAAGTATTTAAACTAAACAGTCCTCCATATGTGTAATTACTCAAGAAATAATAAGAAATGTTTTGGTGTATACGTTTCAATAAAAGCTCAATTATAAATAACAAAAATGTCCTCCACAGTGTACAGCAAGGTTTGTTAACGGCAAAGATGATTTACAATATGTGTACATACTGCAGCCTATGTTTGGTCCAAAGACAACTTCATAGACTCACTAACTAAGATTGGTTAAGTCAAGAGGATCAATGTACCTTCTCTTATACAAAAATTGATTTCCATTGTAAGGAAAAATGGGTGTGCCTTTATCAAACAGCATGTTTTGCTGCAATGGCATTTCCTTGGCCACAATTTCCGCAGGTTGATCAAGAGGACTGTCCGGGAAGCAGCGGTCTCTCTGGATAACCCCCATGGCCTCCCAGTCCAGGAGGGAATCAGCAGGTGGGGATGGAGGGCTGGTAATTTCAGGCTCCAAAGGGAGATGTTTTTGAAACCTGAGATTTGAGAGGTCTTTCAGCTGATGAGCATCGTCAACACGAATACCTGCAGCCCTCCAAGTGTCGGGGACGGGGAGTGAAGCAGCAAAAAGGATTCTGAACTCCATGTCAAATGAGTCAACAACTGGGCCGCTCAAAACAGTGATCAGCTGCCGGTGCAGGTGGGCGTCTGTCCATGTGAGGCTGCAGGGTACAAAGACAGCTTGTTACATCACTCTCAAGTGTGTGTTATACACAAAAAAAAAACAAAAAACATAACTGCTCACCTGTAGCTGCCGTGAATCACTGTGGCTAAATCCACCAGAAGGAACTTGTCTTTCATTTCCCCAACCACCATTCTTCCCGTCCTCGAACAAAAGGTTTTCCCTCCAAGAACACGGACCCGCATATTCTACCAGATCGCAAGCTTAAATTGAAACTCAAGATTGAATTACATTACAACTTGGCATTTATCCATGATGGAATGTGAATGATCAAACACACGCTGCGCAACTTGTATCATGAACAACAGTCTTCAGCCATGCCAGTGGCTCTGTGAGGCTGTAGGCCACGTAGGCATGGCGTCTCAATGCTAATGTCAACATGGTAATATGCTCACAGTGACAATGCTAACATGCTGATGATTAGCAGGTATAATTTGAACTATGTTCACTATCTTAGTTTGGTAGTATGGTGCACCAGAGATATTAACATTCATCCTGTAGAGGTCATGACTTTAACAAATTTACTGGTAATCAATCTAATAGTCAATAAACTAAAATGTCAACCATGGTGGTGCTAAAAGTCAGACAGTCACTGTAGTCTGAAGTATATATTAGGATTCATCGTCCAGGAACCATGAATGTCTGTACCAAATTGTATGCCAATCCATTTTATAGATGTTGAAATATTTTTTGTGAAAACTTTGACCTGCTGGTGGCACTAAATGAAAAGTTAGAGATTACCAAAGTCATTAGGGTTTGTCCTCTGGGCACCATGGGTATCTGTACCAAATTTCATCTCAGTTTATGCATTACATCAATAGGATGTTTTCCTTTTGTCTTCAACATCAGGCAGGTTTTTTTTTTACCATCACTGAATGTTGTGCAACCAGTTTAGCTATCTGTTGCTAAGAGGCCTACATGTCACATTCCTAACATAAGCATGCCAAAGTAAAAAGATACACTAGCAGTCTATGAGATTCTTCTCCAGAGTAAATTGCAGCGTGTCAAGGTTTTCAGATGTGACCTATTACATCATGATTTAAACTGTTAGATTGGTGGTGCTTGATTTTGGCAAAATAAAATCTCTGGTTTATCCATTGCTATGGCAAACATACACAGGAGGATGGCTGCTAGGTGTGTGCTGATTTGTAGGAGGTGACTCACCGGATGCCTGAGCCTGTTGAGCGTGAAGCTCTCCTGAATGGACCTTTGGTTCAAGATGATGTAAACAGGGACACCCCGGGAGGCGGCATTGTGTAAATCACCAATTATTGCACCATCTGTCAATCTGTCCGTCACAATGGCAATTACCTGCACAGTACACAAAGTGTCTCTTAGCCTGTATTTGACAGGATTATTCAGAAAGTGGCTCACACAAATTGAAACTATCCCTTTCCTTGCTCATTTTCTCTGATTATAGGATAAAAATTTTGATGCAGCAAGAAGTGATGATATACTTTACATACTGAAAATGAAACTGAGCAAGTATTAACAGTAAAATATAGTAAAGTAAAAGTACAGATTTTAATAAATGTTTTTTCAGACTATTGCTTTATGTCTAATTGCAGTTTAAACTGAAGCAGTGAATTATATTTAGGTTCAATTCAAAGAAGCAATTGACTAAAGCCACCAAATAATGATAATGCAGCAAAAAGTACAACATGTACCTCTGAAATGTGTCAAAAAATTACAATTCTCAAGTAAAGTACCACTTCCTAAAATTTCTATTGATGCACGCCACCTCCACCGATATGAAAAAAATCCCAATAAGACACATTATATTTGCATACTTTGCTGGCTTTTTGCAAGTGCCGTCTGATGATCTCTCTGACAGGAGGCTCCCCCTCAGCAGGAGGACTGGTGTGCACTGTAACACTCCCCTTTGGTACCCAAAGGATTCTTTCAGGCCAGCCAATGTCCAGATTCGGGGCTGGTGTGTCTGAGTAGGAAGGAAAGTAGGTGGAACAGATGTCCTCCATCTCTGAGCTACCATCCTCTCCATTCACCTCTCTTTGCACCTGCAGCGGGTTAAAGCGATAGTCCTGAGCCCAGCTGGATATCTGGCTGACCTCTTCAGGAGACAGGAATCCGCCAGCATGCTCTGTGCCGATGGAGCTGTAGAAGGCCTCAGGTCCTGCATTTAGGAGTCTTTCCACTGCTTGACGCTCCTTCTCACAATGGAGGAACTCTGGGGAGGACTCATTCACTGGCAGGAACACTGCATCCTCATCCAGGCTCTGCTCTTGGGACTTTGACATGACCGCAGCCAGGTGTGTGTCTCTGGGAGGATCAAAGTTCCCACTAATGACAGATGTGTGACGACAAGACTATTTGGGGCCAGTTCATGTCACCTTTCAATCTAGTTAAAATGATCATTTCATTCATACCTTTGACAAAAAGTCACAGTATTTCCATGTCGAGAATAGCTGCCCAGAACACACCTTATCTCGATGTTTGTGACAATCCTGATGATGAGTTCCTGAGATAACGCACCTGTTCAGGGTTCACAAGTTCAGTTCTGAGCACATTTCACGTTCTTCAGCAGTCTTGTCCACCAGCTCGTGTTGACATAAGAAAGTAAGGAGAATATTAAAATAAGTCGAAGAAAAATATGAAAATACAGAAATCAACACATCGTGAAACTCACCTGCCGGGCAGCATGTCTCATCTCTTAGGGTGCAGTATTAGTCATAAGCTCCTTAGGACCTGTAGCTCTTCGTGTGTTCCCTCCCTTACATGTCATTTCATTTCGTCTTTACTCTTCCACTCCTTGTTACTTAGATTCCAGACATTCTGTGCAGCTGACAGATCAGTGAGCTGCTCAGACAAGGGTCACCATCCTACTGTTTCTCTCTCTCTCACCTTCACAGCTGCTGTGTTTAATATAAATCAAGGTCTCTGACTTTCTGCTTTCAGTTCACACACTTCCTGAATGTGTGTGAGGTGTGCGGTGAAAAACAGTGTTTTGTATAATTTACTTTAGAGGCTGCCACTTACCTCACAGTTTTCATTTTGGACTGGTCCAGCCTGACAGGTAGGTTTGTGGACAAGTGTAAAATGCAGTGCTGTATCTGATCACCTGTCTAAAGGTCTCAGGTTGAATTACATTACAGTTTCTTTTTCATTTCTTGGGAATGTTTTGGAAAATATATTGATACTTGCTGGGTTGTTCTACGTTCTTTTCATTCTTCTACTATTCACTAGAAAATAGCATGAGCATACTTTAGTAAGTAAACAATGAGAGCCACAAAACAATGAGTGATTAAAGGACAAAGATGGCGCACCCTTTTGCAACCACAAGGATATGATGGAGGATTGCACTTGCACTGTGTTACACATAACGCACTTCATACAAAACAAAACAGGCCTTACACAGATATAGCCCTTTAAATACAGGGATATGTAACATTGCTTATAAAGTGACAACAATCACATATTGATTTTTTTAATAAGTAAACACAAATGTATACATAATACAAAAAGAGAGACATTTGAGCTCCATATTGTCTCACCATAATCACAATTAAGCACAACAAGTTATGAATTCATTACCTAATATTTCTATGTCAGAATCCTTCATGTAACACATTCGTATGAGTTCTGTATCTTACAGCATGACTGGGTTTTGAGTGACAATGTGTCTCACAGACAGAGATGCCACCATGATGAGATAATGTCCCGCATACCATGTAGCATGGTGGGGTGGACCTTGAGTCAAAAAAGAAAACAGAAATGTGTATTCATAGAGGTATTTCATTCTCTGTCATCTGATTTCCTTGTGTGCTTACAGGTAACTGGGATGTGATTGAAGTGAGTTTTTTCATCCTTTCTGGGATTTCTTTTTTTTGCTCACTGCTTCTTGCGCAGGTGGACATACAGGACTGCACTGACCAGGAGGAGAGGGACACACACCCATGCCAGGATGAAACAGTAGCCAAAGCGTCCTTTGCTTAAATCTCTGTCATTTAAGATCTCCTTTCTGTGGAAGGTGAAGATGAGGCAAGCAGCAAAGGCTGTGAAACCTGCAGGAGTGCAGCACAACACAGACGTTTTAGTTAAAATTCTCTTATCTCATCACAGTCATACACTTTTATGGTGCCAAGACTGGCATAGCTCTATATGTTTTGTATTGTCAGCAAATGCCACAAAAAGACCAAAACCAACAATGCGTCAGCCCATTTCTCAATTCACCGACTTCCCTAAACTGTCTGTGACATTCAGCATAAAGCTCATTAGTTCCTACTGAAGATGTAAATCTTTAAAAGTGGGCCCCAGATATGAAGTGTATTTTTTTAAAATAGCTGTGCACTGTAGATTTTAGCAAATGTTACTTACACAGGAGGGAATTGTGCATTTGTTGGGGTGTATTTTCAGCTGTGGATCAATGCAAATTTGGTACTCTAGTGAGTATCTACAGCAACAGGATGGTGAATGTGTGATTGATGTAATGCCATGTAATGTGAGGCTTTGGCTACACATGCAATACTTGTTAGTTGGGTAAATTAATTGTTGGTTTTGGTCTTTTCGCTCTTTGGTCTGAGATTTGTTAACAATGAGAGAAATATAGAATGTAGCCAACTTTAAACTCCAAATATGGGTTACTTCCTTCATTTATAAATATGAGTACAGTAGATAGCCACGATTCATAAAGAGTAGAAAAGAGCAAAGCTATAAAAACCAAGCTGTCTCTTAACAACCAAGATAAAGTAATTCTTTAAATTTTAATTAACTGCATTTTATGTCGTAAATGGAATAAGATTTTAAACACCTGCAAAGGCCTGACAGAGGCCTGTGAAGTAGAAGAGACCTCCTTTAGAGACTGTGATCAGCTGACCCAGAAACACCAGGAAGGAGATGGAGGAGAAGACCACAGACAGAACCATGAGGGCCTGGACAGACTGCAACCAGTCTGGAAGAGCAGGTCAGAGAAAACGTGTAAGACATTGACTCACAAGCAAAAATAAAAGCTTGTCTGGCTGTTATGAAACAACAAATCATGCAGAAATGCAAAATATGAGCAGTAAATAAACAAAACAGCATGCACATGTAGGCAGGCAAGCACGCAGAGAAACACTTTACCGCTTTCATTGGCAGAAGCACACATCCAGGTCTGAGTGGCATTATCATGGAAGCAGTTGTACCAGAGGTCTGTGATCTCTGTATCAGCCCATACCCACCAGGACTGCAGAAAGAAAGAAAGAAAGAAAGAAAGCCAAAACCACATTAGTACGTTGATGTGCAGCATTTTTGTGTTTGGCTTTGTTTACATTTTACAGGGATTAACAGTGACATCTACTGTAAGAAGAGAGACCATACAGTACAACATGAGCTGACAACGTGTCTCACCTTTTCCAGGGTGGCAATCAGGAGCATGGCCAAGGTGACCAGATGCAGCACTGTTAGGGTTATAAGCAGGAAGACCATGGCTGCTGGTATATCCTGTGTAGGAATTATTATGTTATTGTTATCCATTTGTGTTACGATTGGTGGTTTCCAACAGCTTTGTAGTCAAAGACACATCATTAACCGCTGCTAACCCCTGTCCCTTTCCTCCGTGTCATCTAAAATGTCCAGGAAATTTCAGGAGGCAATGGCCTGAAACAGTGGACTCTATGTCTGCCTCTTGAGGAAACTCTGAGCACTTTCATCATGCATCTTAACATCTGCACTGACAATCTCTGCCCATTTATCAGGCCACAAGAGTCCCAGACTGGGGGGATTTCTCTCAGTCTTCACAGCCTGTCCGGTCTCTGAGGATTACATCTGAACATCGGCTCCCTGTAACCGCTGTAAACAAACTTGTAGTCTGAAACCCGACCGACCAACGGTCTGACATACTGTTGTGTACTTTTATTGAATCTGGGTACAAACTTTATGCCTACAGCGTGAATGATCTGTCATTAAACTTCAGGATTAATAAGAAAAAAGCTCTTAACTTATTCCTCTTTATTAATCTCTTCAAACACTTTCCCCAATGACACACATCCATTGTGAAACACCTTTTAAGTCAAATGGAAAAAAACTGACTCATTGGTTTTATTTAAATCAGTGTGACTTTTTCCATCAGATATGTTTGTGAGGACACAAGCAAAGAAAGGGAAGTCTCATTATGAAGCAATACTTATTAATTTTGGGTGTCAGTTCCCCCAGATACAGATGTTTAAGTAAGTAAACACAGAATTTGTATTGTTGCCCACTTGCAGTGCTAAATAAACAAGGACTTCTCCTAAAACACATCCTACTACATTACAGGTAGATAAATTAGAAAGAGGAAAATGTACTAATTAATTAATGTGTTTAATTTTTCTAATCAAAACTTGAGTCTAAAATATAAAAAGTGTATGTTGTTGTTTCTGCTGCCAACTCCTATGCAGACTGTTATGTTTCCTAACCTGAAACTGTACAACACTCTTAGACTTCTAGGACCTTTCACATGTTTGTCTTTCCCACTCAGCGCTGCCCATAGAGGGAAATCACTGTTGCTATTAGATTGTGGACAGTTCAGAGAGGCATGTGTTTGATTACATGCTACTACGTCTGGTTTATGTAACAGTTTGAGGTACCTAGCACAGACAGAACAAAAGTAATGACCACAGAAACTGAAAGCACATCACGGTGGAAAAGCATCTTCGTGAATGTGAACAGTATCATTAAGGACTCGCGTGTGGGTGTAACCTCCATCGGTTTAGGCTAAATGACATTATACTAAGCTTAAAATGTCATTTCAAACACAACCAAGATGTTTTGAGGAAGTTCTTACCCTTCAGCTTCAGTGCCTTTGAGTCAGCACCCTTCAGTAAGCGTCTCTGATTTGATCGTTGCTGCTGTCCTCCCTCTGTGCTCTTTCTGTCCTTGCAGACGTTTTAGCTCCAAAACATTCAGAAAGGGCACAGAAGAGGAATGTGGAGTTAGATATAGGAGGAGTTCTGAACACCCATTTCCTCTTAACTTTCCCTGCCCTCCCCCTCAAAACTGTGGTCTGGACCAGCTCAACACCAAAAATAACATTCCTCTGGACCGACATATAAACACCAAACATTTTCGCAAACGACTTTAGTGCAGACTGCAATCTGCATTAAAATAAGGAAACAAAACAGGATGAGGTGCCTAAATCTGTTATTCAGAGTCCAGTGAAGGACAGATGACATGTTCGTAATAACTCTGCTGTGTGTGGGCTTGCAATGGTCAAAATCTGTATTATTAAAGCCACACTTTGCCATTGCTGCACATGTACTCATGCTGTTCATTCAGCTGTACAGCTTCGCATGAAGACCACCACAGTATTTCCGGAATGAGGTGAATAAAAGGCAGGAAATTTAGGCTGATTGCTGCCCACTTTTCATTGTGAATGTGCAGGAAGTCTCAGACCACCCAAGACACAACACACAGTGTTTATTACTAAATATAATCCTCAGAAAGACTACATGTGAAAGACTATGTGACAAAAACATGTCACATGTCATCAGCATTAAAGGAGTTTACGTACAAAAGATACAACTCATGTAATTAAAATCTCCCAGCTGGATATATTTTAATGCTGTTTGTTCATTATAATGATTGCACTTACAGATGAGTTTATTTGTAATGCACACACTTTATAAGCAAGTTCCTGGCAGTTGCAGCAATAATGAATGCCAATACCAATTTATGAGTAATATTTAATTAAATAACCAACAATTGTTGGCTAAGAAAGTATTCAGTTTCTTTACTTGAGTAAAAATAGCAACGCCACACTGTAAAATACTTATTGTTACTAAATGTCCACAATTAAAAATGTAAAAAGCTTATGTGGAAAAAAATGTCCATTATAAGGTAAATATTGTTTTATTATTAATTGCACAAATGGGAATGCAGCTTTTTTTCTTAACTGTTGATTGAGGTGATCCTAATATTTACTATTTTTTATTTGCTGGGTAGTTTAATCTATAATGACAATGCATCGTATGTTATAAACTCATCATGAAGGTATTATGTACAATCTTAATTTAATTGTTAAATAAATGTATAAAAGGGAAAACAATAACCCCTCAATTATAATGTTAGTGGAGTAGGCTAAAGGTAGGGTAGAAATTTAAATAATCTCGTAAAGCAGGTACTTGGAATAGGACTTAAAAACAAGCAATTAGTTTCCAACACTGCCAGTAAAAGAGGTATCTCCTTATTTTACTCAGATTAAACAAAAAGCCGAAGATTAAATCTGTTCATAACAAAGTTTCGTTTTTACTGAAGTTTACCAGTGACTCTAAACTATACACACAGTTATCAGTCCCTCAAGACTCCTTCAAGGACCCAAGGAAAGCCCACGATCACAGTGAGCCTTCCAAAGAACAAACAGAACTTCGCTCCGCCACCCATTAAAGCCACAGACAGTGATATCCTCTCGTAGTCTCAACCCACACTGTGTTTTTAACCCTCTGTCGCTGCTTTTAACGGGAAAGTTTCCGTTTGTAACCTTTTGTTACGTACCGTTTTAACCTTTGAACAACGAGGACACAACAACGGGAGACTCGCGTGTTTACGTCACGGTGCCAGTGAAAGCTCATTTTCGGTTTCGGACTTTTTAGCGTGAAACAAAAAAAAAAAAAAAAAAAACTGCAATAATGAGGGCTGAAATATGAGCGTAAACCACAGACGAAAGTTGTTTCACACCGCAGGACAAAATGGACCAACTACAGGTACCGAGCACATTCTACTGCTTCGTCCCTCGGTTTAACAACAGCTGACGTTAGTTTGCTAAAAACCTTTAACGTTAACTAAACTCTGAGTCTTATCCAGATGTGACATTTGATGAAGTGCAGAGCTGGTGATGGGATTGATTTAATTTAACCCCTTATGCAACTTAAAGGGTGAAAACATTGTATTGTATCACAAAACGGCATCATCAGCTTGTTGTTGTTGTTGTTGCTGCTTTATTGCTGCACCATACCATCAAATGGAAATGTTTCCTTGTGTGTCATTCATTTAATAATTATTAAATTATTATAAATATTAAAATTCATAATATAGTTTGAATCTTTTGTAAACTTTGGGATCTTCACTAAAAAATCAACAAATAAAGCTCTGTGAGTTTCAGCAAGTGTGTCTGTGAAACATGTTGATTACCATGACTGAAGTTTCAGAGGTTTAACACACACAAGTAACGTTATAGTGTGGAAGAAGCAGTTCAACACACACATATTGGCAACCCCAGCTGTCTCTATGACTCTATGGGAAGAAACAGCTGCTCCTCCAAACAACTTTAGCCACAGCCAAGAGAAGTTATGTCACGCTAGAGTTGGATTCATTGATACTGAATATTTTGATAAGCATCTTGCAGTTGTGAGATGGACTGTAACAAGTGAGCACAAGGTTAATGATTACCACATCTTACCCTAAAATCTGGTTTCTACATTGTAATGGTATCAGTTCCTCTTACAGTAAGTTATCTGAAGCTGCAGTAGTCAGAGACCATGATGTCCACATGTCACCCATACTGTCTCTAGGAGGAGCTGAAGCAGATCACTGTATGGTTTAATGAGGAGGGACTTGCTCCTGACTCCCCTAAGGAGGCTCAGCTGTGTTTGCTTTGGCGAGACCTCCAGCGCACAAGAAGCCGTCTAAGCAGTGTAACATGGGACCTGGACACCCAGCGGTCCCAACACTTGGCGGAGATGGAAGAGGTAAGTTATCAAATTAGCCAAATTACCAACAAAGGATGTCAGAAATGGTCAAGAAGAATAAATTAAGGTTTGTGTTTATTAGTGACTAAGAAATTGTCTGTAAGGTACGCAAGTCCTTGGAGCAGATCCGAATCTTTACAGAGCACAAAGGTGTTCTGGCTCAGGAGATACAAGATGAAAATGATCAGCTCAAGGATCAGCTGCGACGCATCATATCTCTTCAAGGTTTGAATTTTTTTTTACCTCTACACCACCGACAAATATTAAATAATCCAATAGCAGTAGTGGCAAGATTCAAACTTGTGGATCTTTATCTGCATATGACAAAGTCTTTTCATCTTTTTAAATTACTGTATGGTATTTTCCAGTTGATGAATAGTACAGATTTTGAGAATATACTGGAAGTGTGCCGCTCTTTAAAGGAGGTGGAGTGGTTATAACCAGATGTACATTTGCCAAACAAACCAAACCAACTTAATCCTTGAAGTCTTTTCTCTTAAAACTGAAACATGCAATGCATTTGTGCCTATCTAGGGGTAGTGGTACTTCTATAGGTAAAGCTAACTTAATTTGAACGCCTTCTTGGGACCCCAGACACTAGTCCACAGATTTAAAAGCATTATAAATCTTACTTTTTCACCATTCTCTGTTTTGATAGATGCCCAGATCAGTGAGGTGGCTAAAATGCTGTACCAGCAGGGTCTCACAGAGTTGATTCACAGCAGCCCCAGTGAGCAGGTGGCCTACCTCCTGGTGGAGAGAGCTTCTTTACTTGAGACAAGTGAGGCTCCTGACCAGCTGACGGGTGATGGAAACACAGCCATGCTGGGGACCGAAGCCCAAGGGCTGGACACCAATGCACACCAGGTTAGAGGAAGAACATCTGGCCAATTTTGCCACTGTGAAGACGGGGACATTGTGCCCCTCTAGACCTCCAGCATGTCTAATCCTGCCTCAGCCCCATCCAAAGCCATTTGATCGGTGTATAATAAACTCTGTTACAAAGATTAAATAGGATGCCTCTTCCCCTAGTGTCTGTAATATTCCCCCTGTTATTTGATACATAATGTGACCATATGTCCATATGTCTTTCCCACTGCAAGTCCTCGTGCTATACAACTCTTAAACTGAAAAAAAAATCCTCAATCACATTGGTTCTCTTGTGGACCTCAACGCCACACACTTTGCATTTGTTGCATGTCTTGTACGTTTCTCTGCTGTCAAACAACTTGTGATCCAATGTTATTCCACAGTCTTGCCACAAGGGGGCACCACGTCATGGCCAGAGCCCGTGGAAGAGACTCTTTGGACTCCACAAAGCTTCACAGAGCAAACATACTTTTATTCCTGTATGTCCTTTTATCTACAGTAATGGTACTGCATCCCATACTAACAACCACTAAACTGCACTCAGGTCAGTCGAAAAATAAGCCACACTGACTTTCTTTTGTGTAACCCAAGGTGCACATTTGAATGCAAGGATATTTTTGCATGTTTTTCCATTCAGAATTCCTGTTCAGCATCCACGTGAACTGAAAACTCTTTTTTCTGTTCCAGTGTTATTAAGTTCTGTTACCAGCACAAGCTAGGTAACTTTGCATGGCTGAAGGAATTCAAGATACTACACCACTTGCTCCAGTGTACTTTTCAAGGTCTCTTGTCTGTTCTTGCATGTATTTATGAGCATTCTTGTTTGTATTCACTGGTTCTCTTCATATTATGACAATCACTTTAATCATGGCCATTTGATCAGTGGCTCCTTCCCTCTCTCTCTCTTTAGGCTGAGGCCAGGCATTTAGCCGGCCAGGCAAGCAGTGTGGAGAGGAAATGTTCTCGTCTGGAGCGGGACCTGGAGGAGGGCTCCCGCCGGCTGGCCATGGCCCACAATGAGATCAGGCGTTTGACTGATGAGCTGGAGTCTGCTCATTTGACTCAAAGAGCTTATGGTGAGAGATATTAATCAGCTACTTACAAGCAGAGTCATTCTCAAAGAGATTTCACATGGCGATATTACAGCAGCCTGTTGCCACAACCATCTCGGTGCTTCTTATATTTTATCATTCAATCAAGGTGGCCACCATTGCTAGAGAAAACATCACAAACTTTCAGCAGAATGCTTCATAAATATTGTATATCACTAGTGTTGAGAAGAAGTTATTTTAGCTTGTCTCCAGCAACTTGGAAACTCCACTGGCAACTTTGTGAAGATTACTGTGGAATCACTGGTGTTTATATTTGTTTTTATAGAGCCTGAGCTGCAGGCAGCCCAGCAGGAGGTAGAGCAACTCAGAAAGGAAGTAGAAAAACTGAAGAAATATGGTGAGAAAGACTTTTCTTTAATTTCTTCTTTAAGTCATTTTCAAAGATCTGCCATATCTTATTGTAAAAGGGTTAGAAAAAATATGTGTTACAATCCCTACACAGCTCAGATTCAGCTGTTGTGCATACCTGCTTATGCTGTCCAGGGGCCTGAGGTTATTCCAGCATGCACTGGGTGAGAGGCAGGCACCAGCCTGTTGTACTATCTGCAGTTTCCATCTAGCCTGCAGGGAAAAAATGCAAAATACACATGTTGATAATGCACCAAGAAAAGCCCACCTTGCTAAAGGGAAGCTACAGTGCCATTAACTGAGCCACCCAACTGTCTGGTCCTCACAACAATATTTACACTTTTGCTAAATAATATTTAAAAAAAGAGCCTTAAAAAGTCTCTAAAAATTAAATTCTCAATTTTGTATTTTAAGTATGCTTTATGTTAAAATACTCGACCAGCATTTTACAGACCAGAATGTATGGTAACATGTTTCATTTATAATCTAATGAGTACATTATCTGACCTTATTTCAAAAGAAATGGTGGAACTGCGAAAGGCCAAAGAGCTGAACGATCGTCTGGATCTTGAGATCAGGGCCTTGAGGAGCAGGGTACGCGCCCTGGATGCCGAGAAAAGCTCTCTACAGCAGATGGTAAGATACCTGCTGGAACCAGGTATTTTATCATGGTGAGATAACGCGACATCCAAGAATTTATATTTTCCTCAATCTTTGCAGTAAAGGGTTTCAATAACAGAACAAGCTAGTATTGGAAGGTACCAGACACTTAACTCTCACTGATGCTTTAAGTTGGTAAGTCATTTGTGCAGGCAAAGGACAGAGGGAGATATTTCACTCAACCCTATTTCAGACTGTGGGCTCATATTAAAAGTGGAGATCAAATTTATAGGATTGTGTGTTAGATCTGCACATTTTTAGGGACATTACAATTAAGCCTGAAAAATTGCCTAATTAATTGTTGTTGCTCGTTTGTACAGTATAATGTTTATGAATCTAATTCTAGCGTTGTTACTGTCTCCATAGTCTTACACATACATTTTTCCTGTAGCTTGTGGCAATAATTAGCTTTTTGTCTATAATACCAAAGCAATGGACTGATGGGGAGGCTGTGGCTCAGAGGCAGAGCGGGTCGTCCCCCAATCAGAAAGTTGTTGGTTCGATCCCTGGCTCCTCCTGCCATGTGTTGAAG